CTACAGGTTTTGATGGAGCTGGGTCAATATTTCCTTTGGCCTTTGGTGTTGTTGAAGAGGAAAATGATGAAAATTGGATGTGGTTCCTTTCTGAGCTGCATAATCTTCTTGAGACCAACATCGGGAACATGCCAAGGCTTATTTTCTTGTCCAATAGGCAAAATGGCATTGTAGATGCAGTAGAGTCCAACTTCCCAACAGCTTTTCATGGGTTCTGCTTGCATCACCTCAGTGAGAATTTCCGGAAGGAGTTCAACAATAGTGTTCTTGTCCACCTTCTCTGGGAAGCTGCTAATGCTCTTACTGTTTGGGAGTTTGAAACTAAACTTCTTGAGATAGAAGAAATGTCACCAGATGCTGCTTTTTGGGTTCGACGAATTCCACCTCACTTGTGGGCCACTTCGCACTTCGAGGGAACGCGTTTTGGGCATCTGACAGCCAACATAGTTGAGTCATTAAATTCTTGGATACTGGAAGCTTCCGGGCTTCCAGTAGTTCAGATGATGGAATGCATACGTAGGCAATTGATGACTTGGTTCAATGAGCGACGTGAAACAAGCATGCAGTGGACATCTCTACTTGTGCCCTCCGCCGAAAGGCACATCTCAGAGGCCCTTGAGCGAGCGCACAATTACCAGGTTCTTCGAGCAAATGAAGCCGAATTTGAAGTTATATCTAATGAAGGAACAAACATTGTGGATATCCGCAACCGCCGGTGTTCATGTAGAGGATGGCAGTTATGTGGTCTTCCCTGTTCTCATGCTGTGGCTGCTCTTCTTTCTTGCAGGCAGAATGTTCACCGCTTTACAGAGAGTTGTTTCACTGTGGCAACATATCGCAAAACATACTCTCAAACAATACATCCTATCCCGGATAGAACCCTGTGGCAGGAGATGTCTCAGGGATCTCAAAATGAAGGCAGTGGTGAAGATATTGTTGTGAATCCACCGAAGACACTTCGGCCACTAGGACAGACGAGAAAAAAGCAAACTCGTAGAGAAGATCGTAATCGTGTTAAACGAGTTGTGCATTGTAGCCGCTGTAACCAGACTGGACATTTTAGAACGACATGTGCAGCGCCCATATAGGTTGTCCATCAGGCAATTTGGTTCTTCCTGTAACGATCTTTGTTCTCTCTTCTTTATCAGATAGAGATTATGTGGTATAAAATTGCCAATCAGTTGTGGCCCATATACTAGTTTTATAAAGTCGAAATCTGTTGGGTCATTTCTTGGTGTTGAAAGAAATTATTCATTTTGAAGAATGTGACTTCTTTTTTCCATATAGCATCTGAAGTTGATCCTTGCAATGCACTTTTGAAGAATATTTTTAAATAATTTTTTTTTTTTTTTTTTTGGAAAATAAAAAAGGGCTATTGGTAATCATGCACATCTCAATATAACACCATACATGATTACTATTTATCAACTTTCTTGATGTTGAAGCACAAAAAGTTCATTTTTTTCGTGTTATTTGCAGAGCAAGCACATTTAATGGAAGAGAAAATGGATGACAGTTGACAGAAATGGCCTTTGGCACAAATAATGATAGATTGAGGGTTCAAATATCAAAAGTAAAATGATAAGGATAATTCACACAATGAGGACGATGAAGACATTTTGTATTAATTACCCATTAAAGAAGTGTATCGAATTGAGCATTGCCCTCTTGATATGTTAAAAATTCTATAACCAATATTTTTCTTCTTTTATGTTAAAAACCTTTTAAGAAAATCTTTTATAGCAAAAAATCAGTCTCTTTTTGTTTTGTTTTCTTTATATTTTTAATTAAGAATCAAATTAATTACCCTTTTTATAAAAGTCTCACATTTTTATTATCAAGCCGATAGGAAATTGTCTATCAAAGAGTTCCAATTTATTATTCTCGTGACAGACCTTCCATACGTTTTTAACATCTTGACACATTATATCTTCTTAATAAATGGAAAGACGTCAGTACATTTTTTGACACCTCGATGTCTTCCAATTTGGTAAAGATGTAATGTATCGATATAACAATAATGTATTTGGGGACAGCCAAGGGACGACAAGTTCATATAACAAATCTTAACTTGTCTACTAATAACTCAATTGTCACCAAATTAAAATATTGGAAATTTTAAGTGTTAAAGTAAAGATTGAAGACAAATAACCACATTGAAAACACTGTAGCAATTTTTCCTTATATTTTTATGATAATGAATCTGATTAAGACTCATACTACTACCACTTGAACCATAATGGTGAACGACGATGATCAAACTCACATCTATGTACATTTTTTAAGCTTAAATAGTTATTATAAGTAGAAAAAAATAATAAAATAAATTATTGTCAAAATATCTCTACGTTTTAACCATGAACTTTCTCGAAATCAAGAAACTCAAAAAATAGCCCCTCTCGAAGCACTGATTTGGATGCTCTTGAACTATAATAGTGAATAGTGATGATCATTCTCGCATCTATCTATATTTTCTAATCTTAAATAGTTATTCCGAGTGGAAGAAAAATACTATTATCAAAATATTTCTATGTTTAATATGAATTTCCTTGAATGCAAGAAACACAAAAAATAGCCTCTCGAAGCACGGATTTGGATGCTCTTTGTTGTTTTTGTGAATTCTAGGAGTTTGATTTAGCTAAAAATAGGTTTTCATAAAATTTGTCTGATTTGCTCAAGTTGTTGACACGACAGATGTTATTGTTATGCCTTGTTTGATTTAGCTAAAAATAAGTTTCGATAAAAATTGATAAAATATGGTTGAAAATTTTATAAAAGTCGTGAATCCAATCAAATGTGTAGTTGAAAATAAGTTTGAAAAAAAATAATTTTAAAAAAAATGAGGATTAAATAGAGGCAAAGTGAGTAGATGTGTTCAATAACACGTCACCTCCTATCTCTTCCACTTCGATCAAAATCACAAACCACTGTGTATTAAAAAACATGTCCGGAACTCGTTTATAATCAATTTAGATTATAAATAGATACAATTGTTTTATTCATGTCACAAGATTAATTTTATGCCCACAACTCTCATCTTTCTCGATTTGAGAGAGACTATACAAGAAAATTTGAAGAACATAGTCATGACAACATTGTTTAAACTATCAACGTCCCCTTGAAGGATATGGTCCCATTTCCATTCAAGCAGGAAATGAATAAATGCCAGAAAAATGAAATCACAATAAGAACTCACAAATTCTTCAATACTCATAAAGATCAGATTTCCAATTTCCATTATCACAGCAATGACAACATTTCTTGGACAAACCTTCATCCGGACTGCCCCATTTCTTTTATTTTTTCTTGTTTTGCCATAATTGATCATCTTTGCAAATTGCATAAGCAATAATAATACAAGTTAAAATCACCAATATGCATCAGTAAAACAGATAGAAAAAAATGTAAAGAGTCGAACCACAAGGGAACCAGCAGGAAACTCTAAATTCTTGAAAAATAAGTCGATTACGACTGATTGAATTTTTTTGTACAATGAGTCACCCCCAACATCCAAATAACTCTTCTATTCTGGATTTTGTTTTTGTCTTGACAACATTTAGGAGTCAAATCATTCAGAACCAGAATCCAACCCCATATGTACCACGAGCTTAAACCAAGCAAACAAGAAGAAGAGCAATGAGGGTAGAAAGGATATGTAAGAAATAATTTTAAAGGCGTCTTGATGTGCTCTCTGAAAATCTTTCCCCAAGATTTCTAGTGTTGGCAGACTTGTGACGGAAACTTAGGGTGATTATGTTCACCTTCGCAAGTAACAATCAGCATTGAAGGTCATCCAAGCACAGCCTCTCATGCTACTATATTTGTAGTATCCCCTGCAAAAATGCAGAACTAGACTCAGCAAAACCATGAAACTACCAAGTCATGCCATCGACGGGTAGGACTATCTATCCAAGAATGTACTTCCAACTTCAGGTTAGGAGCAAGGCATGCTAGTTATTATTAAATGTGATATTTAATAAGCATTGAAGGATCATCCAAGCACAGCCTCTCATGCTACTACATTTGTAGTGTCCCCTGCAAAAATGAAGAACTAGACTCAGCAAAACCATGAAACTACTAACTCATGCCATCGAAGGGTAGGACTATCTATCCAAGAATGTACTTCCAACTTCACCATGCAATAGAACGGTAACAAATATCATATACTGAAGAGGCTACCCGGCAAAAATGCAAGAATGAAAACTCCATATAAGCTAATAACCAGAAATGAATATCTGTGAGTAATTTTTGCAAATTTGGACCAAGCTATGTCACTCGGAGTAGGTGAGGAACAATACCTTGGGTGAGGAGAACCTTTGATTGGCTTCTGTCCATACTTCCCCCATGAATACTCATCAGGAGGTATATCAGCTAAGTTGTTGCTTATGGCAGGAACTTTGATTGATTTTTTCACCCGATGTTTCCTGTATAAATTAGGGGGAAATGGGTAAAGAAAAGCAGTGGCATGGTATAAATAACTCCAATGATGATAGTTTGATTAAAACAACAGAGGCTAGAAATAACCACCTCTCCTCTGGCAGTGGCGTCGATCACTACTCCCACATTTCCCACTTCCATCCTCTCCCCTTCCAGAACACCTTCTCTTATGTTGGTATGAGATAATTTTGAATAGCTGCTGGCTGGGATTGGTGAAGAGGATCCTTGCTATAAGAAGCAGCTCAATAATGAAAGAATGCAAAGAAAGTATTGAAATGCAACTTGAATTGAGAGAAAATTATGTATGCATTTTCATTGAATTCTACGTGCACAAGAACACTATATTTATACAAGGGAGCTACCAAAAATCTATTAATAGATGTTGTACAAGAAACAAACTAATCAGAAAATATTCTCCCCAACTATACAAACAATGAAACAGAAAATGATTTAGATGACCCTTCTGGAATACTCTAAAGTCGTTCCTTTTGTAAACCCATGTGGTTCATTTTTGCCAATTTTCTTTGCTGACTCATAACTGCCTAATTGACATTTTGCATTTCCTTCTTTCAACACCCCCACAAGATGGAGAGTCCATATTTTCTACCCCCATCTTGTGCAAATGAGAGTAAAAATTATTTGAACCCAATGCCTTCGTTAGAATGTTTGCTATTTGTAAGCCACTATTTACATATTTTGTAACAATACTCCCTTCTTGAATTTTATCACGAATTAAGTGGCAATCAAGCTCTATGTGCTTAGTTCGCACATGAAAAACCGGATTTGCTGCTATGTGTAATGCAACATTATTATCACAATACAATAAGACTGCTTGTTTAAATAAGGAAATACAAAATGCCAATTAGGCAATCATGAGTTAGCAAAAAAATCAGCAAAGAGGAACCACAGGTGGTTACAAAAGGAATAGCCTTAGAGTATTTCACAAAGGCCACCTAATTCATTTTCTGTTTCATTGTTTGTATAGTTGGGGAGAATATTTTCTTATTAATTTGTTTCTTGTACAGCATCTATTAACAGATTTTTTGTAACTCCCCCGTATAAATATAGTGTTCTAGTGCACATAAAATTCAATGACAATACATACATAATTTTCTCTCACACGTTGCGTTTCAATACCTTCTTTGCATTCTTTCATTACTGAGCTTGTTCTTATATGGTATCAGAGCAACATAGTTGATCCTACTAACACAAATGATGATTAAAACTCAAATTCTCTTCCTCTTACAGATTCAAATCCAAATCCAAATCCCGACACTTATGATCCATTTGAACCAAATAGCCCATATTTTATCAGTCCCAATGACAGCAATGGAGCTCTGCTTGTCACCCAAATGCTTGATACAAGTAACTATCATTCTTGGGCACGCTCAATGAAAAGAGCCCTTCGTATAAAAAACAAACTGGGATTTGTTGATGGAAGTATCCGTGAGCCACCTTGGCTTCGTTGCAATGACATCATCATCACTTAGTTGCAGAATACCATGTCTATCGACATCAAGAGTAGCACCCTTTATGTTGAGACTACTCACCCAACTGTGGCAGGAACTTGAACAGAGACTTGCCCAACAAGACACTCCTAGGATCTATGAAGTGAAGCAATGTATTGCAATGTTGATGCAAAACCAAGACACTATGAGCATATATTACTCCATATTGAAAACTCTGTTGGATGTACTAATGAACTTGTGAAATGTTTTCAAAACCCATTAATCACGTTTTTTACAAGTGACAAAAAATATTTTCTCCATTTGTTGGCCACATGGCAACTTTCTATTGGCAACTTACTTTTCACAAGGGTGTGTGTTTGTTTGAAAAAATCATGGACCATTGATCAAAATGGAGGGTTGAGATTAGCTTAAACTTTTCTATCATTTATTGATATGAACAGCAGGAGAGAGAAGCACGTGACTTTTATTTTCTCTTGATTTTTCTTCCAAAAAATGGCAAACTTCTCTCTTCTCTCTCTTTGGCATTTCACAATTCATTGGTATTCAGTTGCAAACTTTTATTAGTGATTGAGAATGTAGTAATTTATCAAGTTACGAATTTTTCCCTGATAAATATTTCCATTTATTTTTATTTCTAAGTTTATAAGAGATATCAACGATTTGAAACCAAAAAATTTGCAGGATTTTTAATTATTTAATGAATTTAAAATACATGTTGTTTAATTAGATACTTCACTATTTCGTAAACTGATATTAAGGACCTATTTGTTAAAGCTTCTACTTTCATTTTGCGTCTTGCGGAAGACTTTTATGAAGAAACTACTTAAACTTTCTTTAAAAACTATTTCATCCAAACAAAGGTTCAAAATATATTTTCTAGCCTCTCATGGGGTGGTTGAGTTGGTGGAGTGGGTGAGCACAAAGGCCTATGATCACGAGTTCGATTCCCCCTATCGACACTTTCTCAGTCAAGTCTGTTGCACAGGGTTTGTCTAGCGCAATTTACCTGACTAGCATGGTTTGCAAGCTATTGCGTCAGTTAGAGAATTTATCCAGTGCGCACTCGAAGGGTAGCGGTTGCGAATTTCCCCGCCATTAAAAAAAAAAAAAATTCTAAGTCTAGAAGCAATTTTTAACTTTGTCAAAAAATCGACAATAACTTGTGTTGTTATTCATTAATCTTTCAAACATGTCTCGTACAAAAGAGACTACACATACAAGATGAGATTCTCGGATCAAAAACAGTGGGTGGACCCCATGTGTCTAATCTAAAGGAGTTCTGTCAACCCCTCCTCTGTACATAGAGCATAAATCATCTTGTACACGCCATTCATTCTTATCAGTTTTCTTCATGGCAGTGCTGGCTGCCTTATCTTGAAAGAGTTTAGCCAATCAATTGCACTTAAATATTAATTTTTTTTTCCTCAATTCTTATACTGAATAATTCGATAGTGAGATTAATATCCAAATTTCGATCCAGCGGCCACTAGTAGACAAGCAGCACCACCACTTGGGAATTTTATTTATTTATTTTTTTTAAGAACACGATTAGAGTTTAAGGATAATCTAGTATTGCATTATTACTTAGATAAGATTTGAAAGTGTAAAATATAAAATTTTAATTTATTTTCTATTCCTTAATATCAAAGATGTTAATAAGGTTTCATGGAAGCAAAGATGACTTTGTTAGATTGCATGTAGGTAATTCTAGTTAAATCTTTAATAGAGATGAGAATCATTTTAAGTACGATTTTATCGAAGTTATATTTAAATTATTCCAATAGTACTCTTTTCAATTTTTCATTTATTTGATTGACACACGGATTTGTACATTTATTGAAGGGTTCATCGAGNGTACTCTTTTCAATTTTTCATTTATTTGATTGACACACGGATTTGTACATTTATTGAAGGGTTCATCGAGTATCGACATTTCTGCCAAAGAGAGAGGAGAAAGAAGTCTGCCATTTTTTGGAAGAAAAATCAAGAGAAAGTAAAAGTCATGTGCTTCTCTCTCCTGCCGTCCATATCAATAAATGATAGACAAGCTTAAGCTAATCTCAACCCTCCATTTTGATCAATGGTCCATGATTTTTTCAAACAAACACATCCTTGTGAAAAGTAAGTTGTCAATAGAAAGTTGTCATGTGGCCAACAAATGGAGAAAATATTTTTTGTCACTTGTAAAAAACGTGATTAATGGGTTTTGAAAACATTTCACAGAACTATAAGTCGATTCCTAATTGTACATGTGGGGGATTGAACACAGTAGTGAATGACCAAGATAGAGGTTGGGTAATGAAATTTCTTATGGGTTTAAATAACACCTACAAATCTCTCAAGGCTTAGATTCTTCTAATCAAGCCCTTTCCTAGTCTTAATGAAGTGTACTCTATTATACAACAAGAGGAAAAACGTCGAAAAATTTCTCTAGATTGCCCTATCAGTGATTCCATGGCTCTCATGGCAACTTCTAAAGATACTGAGAGTCAGAATGTTACATCTCAAAAGAAATACTACTGCATGTTTTGTGAAATTCCTGGACATTCTGTGGAGAGGTGCTCTAAGGCCGTTCCTTTTCAAACCACCCGTGGTTCCTCTTTGCTGACTCGTGAATGCTTAATTGGCATTTTGCATTTTCTTCTTTCAACACTTGCCACGTGAGCTCAATTCCAAAGAATAGTTCCCCAATGTCAGATCACTCTTGACATTGGATTCCCCTTCTTGAAGTGGGTGCTTTTCGACAGAATCGGTTTAAAGGAGCTGAATGTGTTTGGGCCAATCATCTGTTCGAAAGGTTGGGTTTTCAAGAAAGAGGTTTTGAGTGAAAGGGGATTGAATTTTCTTCATGTTCTGACTCTAGCATGACCACAACTAGAATTAAGAAGAGAAATAACTTTCTTAAACTTGTGTATTGCCTCCCCTGTTTGTTCAACTAAACTCCTTACTGATGCTCATCTTGGGGATATGATACAAGACTAAGCACTCTATGAGAACCCGCACTATTTGCTTCTTCAATTTCCTCCAACTCACACCCTAATTCCTAAATTTAAGAACTCCTCGAGAGGTGTAAAAGAAAAATCTTCATAACTACTGATTCAAAGATCTTCAATTATCCACGAAGAGAAAAAGCTTGAAAACTCAAATACTTAGTTCAAACCCTCATTTCGATGAATAAATATATTTACCAAAAAGATTCTTTTATAAAAATCAAAAGATATTCAAGCAAAGGAAAGATCATGAGATTGAACTGGGCATATGAAAATCAATCAAAAACAAGAAAACTCCAGATAAATTCAAATGATGGCAAACAACAATTTTATCAACTAAAAAAAAGAGAGCGTAAAAAATTCAAGAATTGACCTCATTTGAACTTTTGGATTGCTGCAAAACCCTAGATTCATCCCATCTCCATAGTCTACGAAAGCAAGGAAAAAATATTTTGAAAAGAGGACGACTTTTGCTT